ACACACACACACACACACACACACACACACACACACACAATGATGAGAATAAATAAAACCTCATGGACATCTCAATTAAATTGTTTACTCAATCATGCTTACGTTCATTATGAATCTCCAGGAACATTCTAGTCGGTATGGAGCTTAGTTATATGGTAAGGCCTGTAGATGATTTGCTTTACAAGAAGTGAAGGTAGGGCCAATAAGATGGCAAGTCTGATGTCCTGAGTTCAATCCCTGGAACCCAGGGAGGGGGACAATAACCTCTAACATACCCAATAAGTACTAAAAATAGTAATAATGATAATGCAGTAGTAGTAGTAATAATAACAATAAAATTAAAAAGAAGTGAAAGCAAAAATTTAAAAACAAGGCAGTTTCATGGGCTAGAAGTACAGCTCACTGGTAGAATGTGTAATTAGTTTGCACGAGATCCTGGGTTCCTTCCCCAGCATCATTTTTTTTTTTTTGAGACCAGGTTTCTCTGTGTAGCCCTTGCTGTCCTAGGACTAACTGTGTACATCAGGCTGGCCTCGAAAAGTCACAGAGATCCACCTGCCTCTGCCTCTGCCTCCTGAGTGCTGTGATTATAGGCATGTGCCACCACCACTTCAGGCTCCCAAGCAGCAAAAATTAAACAAAAAGTAAGAACTGAAGACATGAGAAACTTAATGATGTAGAAGCAAGTTCAGAAGTTCTTTTGTGACTGTGAGCACTGCAATGTTCTCAGATATTTTTATCATTGTTATGTATGCATTCATACATGTTGAGGGGAAAGGAAGCTATTTGGGCAGGAAGGAGACAAAACCCAGACCCTAAACTCTGCCCTTAGAAAAATCACAAAAATATGGAACACTAATTCTGGAAAGAGCCTTGGGGGAATCTGTATTGCTTGCATTTTTCACGTGAAGAAATTCAGGCCCAGGGAAGGGAGGAGCTTTGCCCCAACTAGTTAATGTCAGTGAGCCAGGCCTGGAGCTATAGAGCTTGACTACTGACTACTGACTACTGACCATACCATATTACAAATATGGACATTTGGTATTTTGTAAAGCTATTTTAGAAGCTGCCTGCTTGCTCTGTTAGTCTCCCTCCTGGCCAGTGAATTCTCCCATACCATTCCCTTGTTTTCATTTGGCCACTGTGTTCTGAACATAGTAGCAACTTTGAAAATGCCAGGTATTTTTGAAATCCATGGCACAGCTCTCCAAATATCGGGTGAGATGTTTTCTTCAGTAGGAGCCACCGCAGAGGCAGTACAAGTCTTTCAGAGTGAGGAGGTGGATTGGCCCATACTGGCTTTCAGAGTGAGGAGGTGGATTGGCCCATACTGGCTTTGCTTTAATCTCTCTGTGTGTGTTCACTTGGTATGCATGTGCCACAGTACATGTGGTGATCAGAGTGTAGCCTTGGACATAGTAAGATAGGATGTTAATTGCTATGTACACCAGGCTTGCTAGTCCATGAGCTTCCAGAGTCTCCTGTCTTCATTTCCTAGCTCACTCTATTAGCATTAGAGTTACAGAGAAGTGTTGCTATGCCTGGTGGGCTCTGAGGATCTGAACTCAGGTCTTCAGCTTGCATGGGAAGTACTTTTCTCACAGACACATCCCTTTAGGCCCCACATTGTTTTCTATAATATTTTTGA